AAATAATAGTAACAATAAAAGGCAAACATTGACCAAACATTATTTTCCTTTATAGCGAGTTAATAACAGAAGTATCCTTCAAAACTGTTGTTACAAAACTGTATTTAGCAGATAAAAAATAATAGTAACAATAAAAGGCAAACATTGACCAAACATTATTTTCCTTTATAGCGATTTAATAACAGAAGTGATTATTTAGCAAATAAAAAAATAATAGCAACAATAAAAGGCAAACATTGACCAAACATTATTTTCCTTTATAGTGATATAATCACTTTGATTTGCCCGGCAGCTAACCTACATCCTGTTTGTCTCGGTTTTCTAGATCCAGTTCATCTTGTAACAAAATAACAAAATTTAAAATATAAAGGGTTTTAACATTAGTCTTGACTGTTTATTTCAGAATTGTTTACACAAAGTTACACAACTGACTACCTGAGCATAGCCATCCTAATGAGTCCAAGAGTTGACAGTAGATGGAATTGACAAGCTGTTTTTTTTCCTCTAGTTCGTCTGTTCTAAACTTTTGTTTGACAGAATATTGGGAATTGAATGTTGCTCTTGTAGCACACTCACGACACCAAATTACTTAATCGGATGCAAGCGATGAAGCGTCAAGTTTACAGTCCGGACACGCTATCGACTAAGCTCGGCCTAGTCCAGTTTTGGAGGAAGGCAGCTAGCAAGTCAACAGCGCAAACTTCAAACTTTTATCTGATTGAACAGTGGAATCTGGACATCATTTATGATATGTACCTACGGCCTCACACTGCGGAGAGAAGGCCCGGCATGGCCAAGTGGTTAGGGCGCTCGAATCGCAATCTGAGGGTCGCGGGTTTGAATCCTCGCCCCACCAAACATGCTCGCCCTTTCAGCCATGGGGGCGTTATAATGTGGCGGTCAATCCCACTATTCGTTGGTAAAAGAGTAGCCAAAGAGTTGGCGGTGGGTGGTGATGAATAGCTGCCTTCCCTCTAGTCTTACACTGCTAAATTAGGGACGGCTAGCGCAGATAGCCCTCGTGTAGCTTTGCGCGAAATTCAAAAAACAAACAATCACACTGTGGAGAGAGTTTTGCAGCAACGTGACGCGAATCATGAAAACACGGGTTCAAAGTGCGAGCACGCTAGCCAGTCGGCCACGCCCGGCCCTTATAATTTACTAAAACTAAACTTGTCTGGAACCTGATTTTTTGTATTTATTTTTTCATCAGTGTGATAAAATGATCAAGTTCATGTTGTGAATAAAACTCAAGTAATTTACGCGGACAACATTTAATTGTGATGATTATACGTCATTTATATTTAAAAAATTTGGTTGGAGTTGACACATTTCTGGCTGCTGTACGCGCCATATTATTTACATTAGAATTGTCGCTATAAATTTAACTGTGTTACGTTCTAGTTACATCAAAATGCACCCAAACGTGGCTTTCGATAAATATATGAAAACCTGAAACACTCCTGCTTCTTCTTAGGCTTAAAGATTAGAAATAAAAATATCAAATTGTATATGAACCCAGAAAAATTGGTTTAAATGTCCAAAGGCTTACATACAAAATCACTTTATGAATTTCAAGGTAGACTGTTATACTTAGCATTTAGGGTTTCTTAATAACAATTAATGAGGACAAAGAATACAAGACCACTTTACGAATATAAATATTATTAGTGTACATGACTTAAAGACTGCTTTAAACAAAGATTTTTAGTGAAAAACAAAATGCTGGCGTAAACCCGCTTCGAAAAGGCGAAATTATATACTTTTTATGAAATACATGCTTCTATCGTCTTATAAATAATTTGATATAACAAATTAAAATATATATACATATTGTTACGTCTCCGTTTGTTATTTGATTTTCCGTAACTTGTTCCGACGAAACTTAAGCGACACAAGTTCTTTCTTAATAAAAACTGGTTTATTCTTTCCGAATATAACTTTACCGATATACTCAACTTCAACAATCGCGCTAAAACAACGCTATAACGAACTTCAACAATACTCTGACTGCAGTTCAATTACTCACTATCTATACACACATTACATTCCCCTCTTTTATATACCAGCCTACCCTATCTAGCAAATGCTAGAGCATTCCTGAAAGAACAAGATAGTTCTAGAAACTAGAGGGCGCCACACCAGTCACGTGACCTCGATGACGCAACAATATGTTATGTCGTTTTGTAATTTGAACATTTGTTGAAAGTTACTTATGATTGCAATATTGGTAACTAGACGGCTTTGTTGTAGTACATTGATTGACCAAGACCAGAATTTTTGCGAATGCGAAAAAATAGCCGTAGGGGTAAAACAAATTTTAAGAGAATGTAACAAAACTTTGTTTTGTATGTTACTTTGTTGTGAAGCACAAGATTATACAATGTGCTCTCTGTACTTCGCTCACCACGGTTATTGAGACCCGATTTTTAGCGATATAAGCCATTAGGCTTACCGCTGAGCCACAGAGTGGTAAGAAATTTGAAAGAAAGACGTTCTTCAGACTGTATATGTGTGTGTATATTAGTTTCACTAATATGATTAAGTATTAACTGATTTGCTTTGGTATTTTTAGACCAAACAGCAGTAAAAATGACTAGATCAGAAACGAGACTTTTATGGTTCAGACATAGTCGCCCCTAAATACAAAATTAGGAGCCGTGGGTATGCTATAAGAGTGACAGTTAAATTCCATAATTCGAGTCTTCCGGTAGAAGAGCGGTAAGTTTACGGTCTTACAACGCTAAAATACGGGGTTCGATCCCCTCATAGTGGACACTGCAGATAACCTAATGTGGCTTTGCTATAAAACAAACACACAAACAACCCATAATTCGGTGAGATAAGCGTACCCCGAGAGTTGGCGGTGAGTGCTGTTGACTAGCTGCTTTATCTATTATCTATTGATTCGAAATTATGGACGGCTATGCGCAGACAGTAGCTGCAGTCACCTATGCGGCATCTCTTAACACATAGCAGAATGGACTGCCACCGTTAATAAGTCCACACAGTTCAACTAAGGCGCGGTAAGATAATCGCAAGGACATCTCTAGCCTAAATTAACTGCATTCAATGTCATACAATTCAAGTTTGGTCGTTGTATTGTTAATATAATATAGTTATTATATTTGACAATGAAAGAAGCCTAAAGCAACAATTTGTAAAAATAATAATAATATTGTATTTAGCTATTTATTATTATTGTTATTAGTTTGCCAGTTCGCGAGTTCTTTTTTCGGCTATCAGATGTTATTAAACTCTATAAAAGATCGTTCTACCTCTATGTAAATAAGAACTTACTTAAATCAAGTGACCCGGAATGTAAGCATTGTTGAAATTGGAATTATGATAATTTGCTTGTTTTGCTAGAGTTGAAGTGTCTGTATATCCTCAACTCCTTAAGTTCTTAAGTCTCAGTAAGTGTATCAATTATCTGTCAAACAAAAATAATCTAGATTGTAAATCTTGTTTGTTACAACACAGTTCAATTAGACTTTGAGCTATATTTGATCCGTTCCGTAAATTGGTCTAAACTTTACCGTAAGTTTCTTCAGTTGACTTCTTCCACTTCTCTGTTTATTCAAAACTTTCTTCTGACCTGCGTGAAAATGTTTAAAACTAACTTGAAATAACACTGAAAAAGTGCAATTATACAGAATTGGAACAATTTATTTATTCTACATGTGATTTGATAACAGAAAATATTTTAAAATGTTCATACTTTATTTACTGTAAGTTACACTGAAAATGTTAATTTAGCTGATTTTTTTAAATGTTCATACTTTATTTACTTAAGTTACACTGTTAATTCAGCTGTTTTTTTAATGTTCATACTTTATTTGCTCTAAGTTACATTGAAAATATTAATTCAACTGGTTTTTAAAAATGTTCATAATTTTCAGTGTAACTTAGAGTAAATAAAGTATGAACATTTTAAAAACCAGCTGAATTAACATTTTCAGTGTAACTTAGAGTAAATAAAGATTAATTCAACTGGTTTTTTAAAAATGTTCATACTTTATTTACTTTAAGTTACACTGAAAATATTAATTCAACTGGTTTTTTAAAATGTTCATACTTTATTTACTCTAACTTACACTGAAAATGTTAATTCAGCTGTTTTTTACGTTTTTTGGAAGAGAGGACTGATGAGTACAATTCAATCCGACTTATTGATCCAAAGTACGTTGACCTTAAGATTTCATCACAACACATTCGATGTTTATGAGCAACATTTCACAAGTTTTGACACACACACACACATATATATATAGTCCTTTTAATGTCAAATGTGAGAAGTAGGAGCTACAGAGATAAAGAAAGACAGAAAATACTTACTGCAAGGATCTCATTCTTTTGTGAAGACGAGGTATTGTGACAACCTTTGTGTTTTAAAATAAGTATATAAATATTACAAACTAGAAGCTATGTCGAAAAATCTCCAATGTGATAATTTTTAAAACGTCTATATACCTGTATCTCATCATACGCTCTGGAATATGTTTTGCTTCGAAACATTGAAGTTTATAATGTATTATGTTTCGACATTTGATTTATGAGCAATATATATATATGTGTGTGTATATGTATATAATCAATATTTCTAATGCGATAGCTCAATCAATACTACTAATACTAAGCGACTTATATTGTTGGATAACATAGGAAATCATGTGTCATTGTAACAGACAAAATTTATAGGACTAGTTCCATAAATATTATATTAGTTTATTCTTGGGGTAATGTGAAATACGCAATTCTGAAACTTGATAACAACACTCTAAAAACTTGGCCTACACGTGTAGTACGAGAGCGGAAATGAAAACTAGTTTTGGTTTAAGGTCGGTTTGACTTACTGCTTTGGCACTACTGACGATTTCAACGTTTCACATTCACAGCCGAATTAATTAGAAAAGGTGTCGTATGAATAATCTAAATTACTCAATAATGTTTAATACACGTTATATATTTTGTATATAAATTGTTAAATAACTATTTTTATTGTTTAACTTTCTGCTTTAGTGGCTATTTAGGGGATCATTTGTATATTATGAAAGTTGTTTTGTTAGAACTCTTTACCTGGTGTTTAAATTTCACGTAAATCTTTAGTTATAAGTATTATTGTTTTAAACTTTTATATTCAGTGCGGCCTACTACTAGTGTTAATCTACGAAGAAAACAGCATAGGTTTCTCGAAACAATATTTCTTTTAAATATCCACTTATAATGTTAAGTTTCAAAATTGATAATGTTATTACTTTTCACAGAGAACTTAGCTGTTTTATATATATATATTATCCTCTTTAATTATCTTGTACCATATTATGTGAACCGCATACTAATATTCAACCAATTAAAGATTAATTACAATATAAAGTATATTAATAGACTTAGGATTACAAGCAACATTAAATATACGAAAGGAAACGTTCAGTCAAGACAGCGAGTCTGGCGCCGTATCAACTTCTTAATACAATGACGTCACAACTCATGATTAAGTACGTCGAAGTTTTCGTATCATATTGCATTTCTTGAACATATTTTATAAGTACGTATAATACCCTACGTGTTTCATTTTAGAGTTTACTTTTCAACATCATCTGAGTTTTTAGTGGAATACTTAAAGTTCTATACAGCTGTACATCAATGGCGGCGATCAAGATAATATTTGCCACTAGAGTTCGTCGTGAAATATTCATGTCATTATTAGTAAATATTAAGTCATACTATGAAGGTTTTGTTTCTTTATTCAAATTTATTTTGTGTGACTTTATAATGCTCCTCCCGGAAAGGAATACTGATGGGAAAGTGGTTGCGGAAGTTAAAACAGAGACATCTGGTTCATATCAGTTGTCGCCGTTTTCAACTTCATTGTCATCCCTAAACTTTGCCTTTTGACTGCAATGCATGTTGAAATTAGATCTATTGCATAACGTTTTTTATAGGAATTACTTTATTTACTGTTAGTTTCTTCGAACTAAATAAACTTAACGTTATGTTAAAACATGTGTTTAACGTAGGGTGATAACAGTAAAGGATAACTAAAGTAAGTACAAGTGTTTCACAGTAAAGGATAACTAAAGTAAGTACAAGTGTTTCACAGTAAAGGATAACTAAAGTAAGTACAAGTGTTTCACAGTAAAGGATAACTAAAGTAAGTACACGTGATACACAGTATAGGATAACTAAATAAGTACACGTGTTACACAGTATAGGATAACTAAATAAGTACACGTGTTTCACAGTGAAGGATAACTAAAGTAAGTACAAGTGTTTCACAGTAAAGGATAACTAAAGTAAGTACACGTGTTACACAGTATAGGATAGCTAAATAAGTACACGTTTTTCACAGTGAAGGATAACTAAAGTAAGTACAAGTGTTTCACAGTAAAGGATAACTAAAGTAAGTACACGTGTTTCACACGTTCCACCTGCTTAAGCTGCTTTTTTATAATTGACTTGAGGTAGAAGGAAATGTTGGGAGATTCTAATGTTAGAAAGTGTTAGGTTTCTGGGTCATAGCATGATACAAAAAAGTTCATTGCAGCGTACTGGACTCTGATACTTTATGAGCAAAGAACTACACATATAGGAGCAAAAAACGGAGTAGTTAACTGGTTTGTTTGGAAATTCACGCAAAGCTACACGAGGGCTATCTGCGCTAGCCGCTCCTAATTTAGCAATGAAAGACTAGAGGGAAGCCATCTAGTCTTCACCACCCACTGCCAACTCTTGCGCTACTCTTTTAACAACGAATAGTGGGATTAACTGTCACATTAAAACGCCCCCACGGCTGAAAGGGCGAGCATGTTTGGTGGGACGGGGATTCAAACCCGCGACCCGAAGATTGCGAGTCGAGCGCCCTAATCACCTGGCCATGCCAGGGTAGTTAATTTAACTTTCTTTATCTATGTCATAAAGCACCAAATTAAAAAAAATAAATAAAAATGAAAACGGATGAATGCACTTTCAATTCATACCATGCCTTATTATGTCTATTCACATTTCCAAATGAAAAAAGTCAGCAAAATTATAGTCCTCTACACCATGTTACGTTAACAAATATCCGACACCATTAAAAATCACCTAACTTCAAACAGAGCAACGCCTGAAGTTAAAAAGCACAAAAAATCAAGGCATTTACATAATAGCGTGCTAATCCTGTGAGAAAGGATATTTATGTAAAATTGGAAAAAACGTTGACCGGAAAGTTTCAGAAGATAACAAAAACATTGAATATGGAAACACAAATAATATAGTTTTTCTTAATATGAAAGATTCTGACCATTAAATCGAAATCAACGAGAAGTTTTACAAAAATGGAAAACAACATAAACAGAAAAAACATCTAAAGTTTCTTAATCAAAAGCCAGTCTAATTTCAACAACTCCCAAGGTCACTTTAAGCTAAACAGCGTTCTGACCTCCTGTGACCTTTAAGGGAATTCAATGTTGCAAAATTACGAAAGCGTTATTAACCAGTCTTCCAGTCAGAAGACAACCAATGACTGAAGAAGACTCCTGAATGTGTCGCAGCTAGTTTTTTCCTATAAACGCACGTGACAAGTTTGTTCTGTTTACTGTGCTTTTCCACTAACCATGTTACTATGAGCACGCTACGTACGGAATTACGTCAGTTCGTGTCAGTTGTTGCAACAGCTATTAGATCAGTATAGTAGCGTACTACATGCATATATTGTTAGATTTATTTGGAGGCTATGCCTCCCTCCAAAATAAATAATCCCGGGTCAAATGTTTCTTGCCCTCGCTGACTCGGCGCTTATGTACATATATAACATTTTGAAAGTGATAGCTCAAACAATATCACTAATTCTAAGGACTTGTATTGCCTGATAATACAGGAAACCACGTGTGTGTGTGATAAGTGTGAAAATAAAATCAGCTAATGTTGTAAATATCGTCGAATCTTTTATTCTCTAATACACCCTTGAAGAAATGTCGAATTTTAGATATTAGCAGTGAGCTTGTCTTTTTTTTTTTGAAACTGAGCAAAATTTTAACATCAATATTCAACGAAACAGGAACTTAAACCATAACAAGCTGGATTTTGAAAATGTAAGACGAAGAAAAATTGCATGAATTAAGTTAATGGTTTAAATTTAGTTTGGGTTTTACGTCATCGTTGATTAGTAATAATAAATTCATCAACAATTAGAATAGACTAGAACTACAAAGCTGGCTAACATTTTGATTCTTATTCGATTCATAGGAAGGCTATTACTGATTTTCTCAAAATAATTATTAGTATATAACTATTTGAATTATAATAAAGGACCTTCGTATCTAATACAGTATAATATTTAATACAAATCTGACGTCATGACTTAAAGATATATTATTACTGATAATTTTTAAATTGACAACATAACAACCTATTCAAATTTTAGGTTCCAATAAGTTTAATAACATGAAACTTATTTACTACTGACGTACGTTCCACTGCAGAAAACACTTTAATCTCCATTTTTATGATAACGCTAGCTGATGAGAATAGGACATTCTAACGATTAATAACAAATGATTACCAAAAGGATCAAGCAGACTAGCGGGGGGGGGGGATAAGATAGTTCACTGCTAAAATTCTTTCTGTAAAGGCAGAATTCTATTTTTTTAAGACTTCTCTATTTTCTTAAAATTGCTAGCAAAGTGTAAGTTTCTATAACCCACATAAAAGTTTTACATTACGATTTTACAAAACTTCCATAACACCCAATTTATGTTTTCTTACAGAGAAATACAGATAATTATATACAGCTTCTTACGTATACTTGTTTTCGTACGTTGTTTTGCACAAAAACGTACAAAATACGTAACTTAAATTTTAGGGGATGACTGGATCATAAAATTGCTGATGAGCATTAAATTATGACTTAAAGCAACTCGGGTAATGTGATCTTCATGTGAGCTGACGTGTGGTCTTCCGGCTCGTACAATGAACACTTTGTGGTTTGTTGATGATTTGATTACAGTCTTGAACAAGAGAAACATTCTTGCAACTCCACAAACATCTCCCACGATATTTAGATGTACAAGTGGTCTTAAATATATATTAATTATCCTGTACTCGGTCTCTAAAAATATTATTTTATATTGTGTAAACATTTAAAACGATACAGAAATTAGCGAGCATTTTTTTTTTTTTCAGAAGTAAGCATTCTTTTATTTTGTTCTTTTTTTTTTAAAGCGGGATTAAAATTTTGTGTTTATTATATGATGATAAATGCGAAAATGCTGTTTGCACTCGTAAAATAACATTATATATCCTTTAACTACACGTTTCTAATAGCCCAAAAGGTTTAGTGTGGCCTAGTAGTTAGTATTCCGAGCTGTGGATCCTAAACTCAATGTT